ATACTCAACTATTAGGAAGGGAGATACAGGGCTGTATTTATTTATGTGGAGAAATACGTCCACAATGTGAAGTATAAACAAAATAGAGACTTTAGTAGATAATAACTTGGAAGGATCTATCTCAGAATATTAACAGTGGGTGTTTTGGCAGTGTTTGTTGTTACTGTGGTGCTAGGGATGAAACCCAGAGCCTTGTGCATTGTAGGCAAGTGCTGTACCACAAGCTACTCCCCTGGCTGTCATGCTAGTTTTTTATATTATGCATTCAGTCTCAAACAGTGGTTGAGTCACTTATGTTCTCAAATGATAATTTTTTTAATGTACTTATTTTTTTCCAAAGCAGCATTGCACATTATTGTTGACAGTTAGGAAAAAATACAGTGTAATAACACTTCATCAGATTAATAGTGGTATGTAAAGCAGACCATAGCAGCAGCTCCTCATATACCAGATTTAAAAGACAAGGATAGCCGCCCAGAGGGGCCAGCAGCCTATTAGGACACTTAAAGTTAGGTATTTTTTCTTCAGGATGTTTGAATGGTTATTTCGCCTTATCCCTCTTTCTACATGTAGCCAAAACTAGACACAGTGTATAAAATAAACATGAGAAGACTTTGAAAGGTGAAGCACCCCAGCTAGGGACTGTGAGACCCTAGGAAAGACGTGAACCAGAATGATATAGGGAGAACCCTTCTGCAGAGCCTGAGTGTTACCACCCAGCACTATGAAGACACCTCTTCCCTTCCCTGCCATGGGCAAAGAAGGTCAAGTGGGGAACCTGAATTTCCACCCGCAGCCAGCAGTAATGAGCAGCTGTCCCCTTCATCTGCTGTCACAGTAGCTTGCTTATATAAAAGATTTAAATGGAGTCAAAAGTCTCATAAATCCAAAATTTCCAAGTCAGAAGTACTAGTCAAAAGACTTTGAATTAGTAATCCTAAGAATCAGGAAATCTCAGCTGAAATGAGAAAAGACCAAGAGACATCAATTCCAAGGTAATACAGATGTTCGAATCATCTAATAAGCCTTGAAGAGCAGCCACCGCAAAAAGGCTGCAGTTAGCAGTTACAGACATGCTTGAAACAAAGCAATAGAAAGTCCCAGTAATAACTAAGACTAAACAACCAAAAGGACATTTTAGAATTGAAAATTACATTGACTGGATTTAAAAAAAAAAAATGCATGGGTTGATAAAGAATGAGTTGGAAAAGGATTAAATGAAATTAGTTGATCTGAGCAAGAGAGAATATAGATTTTTTAAAAAGTTTATTGACCCATGAAACATTAGAGTTCCAAAAAGAGGAGAAAAAGGGAAGAAAAATACACCACGAAGTGATGCTGAAAACTGCTAAAATTTGACAAAAGAAAAGCTTGCAGGTTCAAAAACTGGATAAACCTGAAACTGGTTTTTAAAATTCCCTAAAAAGACATACTATAGTCACATTTCAGGCAATGAAAGAAAATTTAAAAGCAGCAAAAGAGAAGCACTCCATTGACAACAAGGAAAGGGCAAGAAAGAAGTGGCACAGAATTGAAAGAAAAGCACTATCAACACAGAATTCTATATCCAGTATCTGAGCATGTATATTCAGTTCATTCAAAATACATTAAATATAAATGAAATTCACTATCTTGAAGTAACCCATAGGAAGAAGAAAAAAAGAAGATGATGGAAATAAAAAAATATCTAAAGAAATTTCTTGAAACAGAAAAGCAAGCGTAAAAGTAGGAACGTTGAACTGTCAGAAAGAACAATGAAAGAGTAAACATAACAGGTGTTTTTCCCTTTCTGAACATTTAATATTGTTAAAACATTTTTCACCCTTCTTAAGAATTGTAAAACACTGTCTCATATGGCTAGAGGAAATGTTGATGACACTTATTGTAAATGAGGGAAGGTAAGAGGACCCCTAGGAAAGTGGTCTCTGCAGCTTAAAAGAACTGAAAAAATGTTGATGCCGGTAGATTGTGATAAGTTAATAGCATAGTGCCTAGCATGACAATTAAAAATCTTCAAAATACACAATCAAAAGTTCTTTACAAAATTCACTGTCTTTATTCAAGTAATCCAGAAATCTTAGACTAAAGTGGTAGCATCTCAATGACTACATTAAATATAAATAGTCTACATCCAGTTATTTAAAAATAGATTTACAGAGTGGATTTTAAGACTGGCATGTTGTGTTATTTAGGAGTCACTTCAAACAACAGAATAGGTGGATAGAAAATTGGTAACTTTGTGTATTGGTCTGTTTTCTGTTACAATAATGAAATCCTGAAGCATCATACAAAGGACAAAGGTTGATTTAGCTCACAGTTCTGGAGATTCAAGGGCTGGCATTGGCTCAGTTCTGATGAAGGACCCATTAGCTGTGTCATGTGCAGATGGCTTGTGGTGAGAGTAGTAAGAGAGGGAGACATCAAGAAGCCAGAAAGACTAGGGAAGACCCAGTTCTGCTTTTCATAACAACCCCTCGCAAGAACTAATTTAAGAGTGCCAGAGGAACTATATTAATCCCTACCAAGGACAGCACTCCACTGACCTCACACTAGGCTCTACCTCTTAAAAGACTCCACACTCCTCCCTTCACTGCCACACTGAACTTTCCTCCAGCATGTGAACACTTGGGGGACATGCTCCAGCTATAGCAGTTTGTAATCCCAAAATCTGGAAACCAAGATACTGCTTAGTGGGGGAATAACTAAATAAACTGGTATACGCAACTCATGGAATAGTACTCTGTAATAAGAAAGAATGGACTGTTCGTACTTTTAACAACTTACATAAGTCTTGGGCATTACTCTGCATGGAAATGTCAATTTGAAAGAACATAAGCCAAATGGATGCATTTGTATGTGACAGAATTACAGAGATGGAAAACACATTGGTGGTTGCTAGAGGCTAGGGACAATAGGAGGAGGAAGGGTAAGTGTGACTAAATGGGTAGTTTTGAGACCTTTGCTAGAATGGAATAGATCTGTAGGGTCGTGATTTTGGTGGTTACACAGATATACACATACTATCACTGAGAAAAACTGGGTTAAAACTGGACCCCTCTATAACATTTGCAACGTCGTATGGAGCTATGATGGCTTCCAAATAAAGTTTTAAAAAGCCAAATAATACGTTCTAAGCAGGAAGCGTTTCGAGTATTTTAAACAAACGCATTAATGTATTTCATGCATTTTCAGATACTGAAAAGCAGTGTCTTTATTTTGTACATCCAAAATAGAATGCCTTCTATAAATGACTTTATAAACTTAGTTTTTGTTTTTATCAAAGGTACAGAGGCTTATTTTAAAGAGGCAACCACTTTACTCCAAGTCTTAACCTTTTTTTGATGAGCTGGCTTCCCATTCCCACTTGAGGAGCTATGATTTCCTTGTTGCTCACAGACGTCACCCTTATTTCTGCCTCCTTGGTTTCCCACTGTAGTTGTCTTGTTCATTTTAGTTTTATCAATATTCTGTTTTGTCAAGAGGATGGTATAAACCCCATTCATCTGGGCTATGATTGCTTTTCCTATCTTGTACAATATTTTGTTTTTCCCAGAATTAATAATAGTCTTATGTTCACTAGGTGGTAGAGATTAGGATTTACAAAAGACAAAAACGAACCTTGAATGTCATCTTTGTTGTGCCTCAAGTTATGACATATGAATTGTGATTTTTAACTTGCCACGGGTGCTGTGGTGGATTGACAGCTGGTGGTCAACTTGTAACACCCCACTAAACTGAATCAGCATGCTCCTGGGTATGGAGGGCCCACCTGGTGATTGTTGCCAACAGAATAAAAATGAGAACTGGAGAACAAGAGAAGCTATTGGAAGTTGTTGGTTTTCCTAGAGCTGTTGTTCTTCTGGAGGAGCTGGTCATGCTGGCTTTCCTGATAAGAACTCAGCTCTTCTCATTGTTGAAGGAGCTCGGGACCTTATTGTTGAGAATGACTGCGCGGTTCCCCTTTGGGGAGCACTGGTCCCTACTTTGAGCATCACTTCCTGGCTCTAGAGGGGAAGATGGTGCACTATTAAGTGTCCCAGAGAAGCTTGAAGCCCTGGCTTTCCTGATGGGAACGCAGCTGTTTTCATTATCAGAGGAGCTCAGGACCTCGCTGTTGCTGAGGATGGCTGTGATACTTCTCAGGGAGTTCTGGTCCTTACTTTGAGTATTGCTTCTGGGCTCCAGTGCAGATCCCTCAACCTGCTGGCACAGATCCTTCATCCCACCGGCACAGACTTTCTAGCTTCCACCACTAACCTTTGGGTCTTCCCAGCACAGATTGTTGAAATAGGGCTGCATGAGACGTCATCATGGGCTCTTGGCCTCCAGGTTGAACTCATGGGAGGGCATTGTTATGGGCCCTAGATCTTCAGCTGAACTCATGCAGGACATTGCCATGGAATCCAGGCCCTTAGCTGGATTCTTTGGTCCTTAGTGTGTGTACATATTTCCTGTACTGTCTTTGTGTATGACTCTTCAAGTGACTTTATAAAATGATGCTATAAATTATGTGTCCTGTATTGTATTGTTCCCTTGCAAACCCTGACCACAACAGGTGCCTAGAAAGGAAAAATTCTAAGGTTATAAGAAATCTTGCTGTTTCCTGCCCAGCAAGTTAAATTTGGTACATATAGAATGCTCCAAAGTAGTAGAGTATCTTTTCTGGTGATTTCTTTGGTTTTCTAACAGTTTTCATTTGGCATAACCAAGGGCTAAATGCACTGTTTTTCATTTATAAATATTGTATTTGATTATGCACATGGATGTGAGAGATGTTTGACTCAATTATGTAATTTGTTTTCAAATGGCATTATGGTGGATTATATATGTTTACAAATGAATTTGTAAGTGTGTGGCTCACCCGCTGATTTGTTTTTACATGTGTTTAGTGGTGATGATTGTGAGTATTATAATGGGACTCCATGAAAAATGGATTCATAATTTAATTTCATAGCAGACATAGTTTTTATTATTCATATAGCCTTTCTGTTGGTTTCCAGATACTTGAGGAGGCGGAAGCCCAGCATTTGTATCAGTCCATTCTGCCTGACATGGTGAAAGCTGCTCTCTGCCTGCCAAGTATTTGCACACAGGTTAGTGAGTTGACGTCCGCAGTGCACTTTGGGTCAGAGAGGTGGGAAGCAGATTTGCCAGAGAATATGGTAATTTTGCTATTTTAAGGAAAAGGTGAGAGGCGAGAGAGGATGCTACAAAAGGACATTAAAAATGCATCATTCAATTTCTGAGCTTCCGTTGACACTGAAGTTTACTTACTCAGACTTCTTCTCATTGAAACAATCTATATCTTTTGAAAAATAGTAGTCATTTTAAACATATTAATGGATTTGTGATATCTTTTCAAAAGGGCTTCCTGCTCCCCACTTCTTTTTCACTCCTCCAAAGTCATATTATAACAAATGAGTTCATAGTACTTTCTTAAGAATAAAAAGAAAGGATCTGATATCACTTAAGTGGGTGTAGAATGCACTAATTATACATTGCTACATAACTAGCTATACAAAAGTTCAGTGTGTTAAAGCAATTAACGTGTGTTATGTCACAGTTGTTGGCCATGAATTTGGGACCAGCTTAGCTAAGGAAGTCATGATTCCGTCTGTCTTGTGGTTGTAGTTAGGGCGTGGGTGAGGGCCAGGCTCCTCCGAAGGTTTGGTGGGGCTAGCTTAGCTGCTGCTCACAAAGAGCAGGAGAAGCTACAGTGCCTTTTATCACCAGGTTTCTTGAGCCCCACTGTATCACTTAGACTTTTTCTACTCATTAGAAGCCCATCAGTAAGTGTAGCTCAGACCCAGATGGAAGGGAATTAGACTCCACTTCTTAAAGGGAGAAGTATCAGAGAATTTCATATTTTCAGACCTCCTTAAGAGGTTGTTTTCTTCTTCATCATTTTCTTCCTGTGTTTGTATTTGCCCTTGTCTTTTTATTTTAAGGCCAGCCCCTTGCTGTGATGCTAACCAGGGTTCTCACACTGTTGTTCCCCAGGAGTTCCTGGGATATTTTGGGTTTGGGAATGTAACAGTTTCTCAAGGTATAGGATGGCCACACTCTTTCACACCTTCCAAACCATAAGCACAGTCGCTGTGGCAACCAGAAGCCCCACACTTGTCAGAGGACTTTGTGGGGTCCTGCCATTGTCAGTTGAGAACCAGTGTGCTGCATTTGTTCGCTTTTTTAATGTAATGTTTCCAATGCTTTTTAACTTTAATTTCACCTCAATAATGCATTATTTCTAAAATAATTGTTACTGTTAGATAGAAAATACATTTAAAAACACCTCTTTCTATTGGAAGTTACTTAATTATATTGCATACTCAGTCCTTTTCCTTTCTCTCCTTTCCTTACCTAGTAGAATACCTTGTTACTGTCTGGTTCTGCCTTTTACTGCTTCCCTTGTGAAGCCTTTCCTGCTTTCCACAGGGAAGCTTTATCCACACTGTCATGCTTCCCAAACTGTTTTTAATTTATATCTTTACAAATCTTCTCTCAGTAGATCATGTTCCCCTTGAAGGGAGATCTCTGTGTCTCTAGATTTTGTGTGGTGCTTAGTTAATTGCTTTTTTAATTCAGTGTGTAATTCATGATCCACAATATCTAGACTTTTGACAGGCTCACTTAATGCCCTTATTCTCTCCTGCTAGAAGAGAAAGTTGCCTTATTTTATTTGAGATACTTATTATTCAAAACTTGTAAAGTAGTAAGCTATCATAAGTTGTGTAGTAGAACCAAGTCAGAATCCTGGCCCCCAACTCTTTATCTTGGCATAGCATAACTTGGTTCTTTAATTAGTGTATTACTAGGAAAACATTTTCCATCTCGATTTTGTGTTCTGCCAAAAACCAATCTCTTCTATGAAAATTAAGATGTGACTTGAAATCAAAATAAGTTTTTGGCAAGTTAAACTGTATACATTGATATTTAATGATTTACCACATCAGAATACTATAGTCCAAATCTAAAAGATAAATTTTAGATTTTAAAAAAGAAAGACATTTTGGAAGGAATGTCTTGAAATATCTTGGTTAATAGTAATCAACCTCTTATTTTGTCTAGCTGTTTGGCAATAAGATCTATATCTTCTCTTTTCCCTAAGTATCTGGCATCTCTTCTCACCAAAAGAGCAGAAGTAATTTATCTTTTAAAAATTATACCCTATTTATTTGGGTATGAGAAATGTTTGTCAAGTCCATTAAGTCTAAAATATTTACCATGAGTTTTTAAAATTATTTTTCCAGCTAACTTGGTAAATGGTACTCAAAAATTTATTTCTCGTTAAAACCAAATAATAGTTTGCTTTGAACCATGAATGTTCTGTCACCTTGCCTAAACTCATTGCTGGGTTATGAATAAATGTTTAGGATGGAAAATGGAGATCAATGTGAGTCCTTTGTTTCTTCTTAGAGGTGGTGATTAGTAAGACCTGAAAGAAGGGAGAATTTTGGAGACAATAGTGAAAATATTTCTTACCTTTTGCTTTTTTGTTTACTTGTGAATTTTTCCGAGAGAAATAGTTAAGATTGCAAGATTAAGCTTTTATTCATTCTGGCAAATGTTCCAGCAATGATGTCTGTTCCCTGTTACTTAGAAAAATTGTGATTTTGATTTGTCTTCCCTGCCTGTCCTCAGGCTCATTTTGTGTGTTAATTTGTGAAGAATGATCACAATAGTTCACTCCAGGCAACTGGTTTGAGATTTGTGCAGATACTTGGCATTCTTCGTTCTTGTTTTCTGAAAGAGAAGGAAAAACATCTCTAAATATTAGGGAACACTTTGAAACTTAACATATATTGGATAATCTGGCAGTTTGTCTTTGATTTTTAACAGCATGTCCTTAAAAACATAGTTTCAACATTTGAAGTAGAATAAAACCCACCAAAGATAATACTCAGGTCCTATGGATTATACTGACAATGAAACTTCACTGAATTTGAGTTTGGTACCGGTAATAAACACTTTAGAAATGAAAGATTTGCGGAAAAAATGTCCAGCATCTTCCTTAACTTGGGATGTTTGATTATGTAGGAAGTGCCTGTTACAAGTTATGCATAAGTCAGTGTGATGATTTTCACATGTTCCACTAAATTGCTTTAATAAATTAGATTTGAGTCTCATAAATTGTCCATGTGCAGTGTGATTCAGAATAAGAAGGAAAAGACTTATTGAATTATTTTCCTTAGATCATTTTACTTAGGACTAAGATAAAAAAATTACTCATCCAACAATTTCTAGTATTTAAAAGCAGAATTTAACATAGGCAATAATAAATTCAGTAATACATTTTTCTGTTATGTCTTTGGTTCAGATTTGTCATTACATGGGTAATGTGTTTCTATTTAACTTGCTAAAGCAATCTCGTTTTTCACTAATGAGTAATGTTTTGTGTTCTCACTATCATAATTATTGATTAGAAATCTGGAGTTTGTCAAACAAATACCTTTTTCCAGTCTGCCCTGATAAGCAGCTCTTGACTTTAACAATATTGCTGATTTAAGGATTCAAGAGTGGCTCAAAATTATCCCTGCATTAATTTAGCAAATGCAATTTAGGACCTCTGCTTTCAAAATTGCTAAAGTAATTATTGCTCTTGTCTGTATTTTTGTTTCCTCCATCAGCCAATACCGCTCCTGAAGCAGAAGATGAATCATTCCATCACAATGTCACAGGAACAGATTGCCAGTCTTTTAGCTAATGCGTTCTTCTGCACGTTTCCCCGGCGGAATGCTAAGATGAAGTCAGAATATTCTAGTTACCCTGACATTAACTTCAATCGGTATGTTTTCAGAGAACACCATTGCACAGTGAAAAAGAGAGGGGTGAGAGGAACTAATACTGATGTAGTAATGTGCCATGGGCTAAGCATTTCATGTATGATTAGCTGATGTCATCTTTATAATACTGCAAGTTAAGTGTTTTTTTACCACTTTATAGGCAAGGTAATTAAAGTTCACAGAGTTAAAGAATTTGATTGGTATCCAGGCACCATTAATTCACAGAACTGAGAAATCCCCTCCAATATTCTAGTGCTCCTATTCTTTCCATTCCCCCAGGTTGTCCTGCTCAGAGTGCTATGGATGCTACTTTCCTGGCTGAATATTCATTGGAGTATTTGTCATTCATCATATTCCTTATATGCTGAAAGAATGTTAAAGTGACATTAAAAGTGCCACGTGTAGTGATGCATACGTGTAACCTCAGCACTGTAGGAGGATGAGGCAGGAAGATCACAAGTTTGAGTCCAGCCTGAGCAACTTAGCAAGACCTTGTCTCAAAATTTAAGGGGGGTTTGGGAGGCTCAGTGTGAAGACTCTCGGTTCAAGCTCCTGGGCTTTAAAAAAAGGGCAAGTAAAAGTCCTTCCTACAAAAATCTTATGAAGTAAGAGTATGAAGTCATGAGGCTTGAAAAATATACGTAAGGTGAAAAGTGACTGACTTTGTATAGATGAGATTGATTTATTAATGTAAGATTTTTGAGAGGAAGACTAAGGAATGTTCAAATTATTTGGCTCAGTTAATACATTGAGAAGGAATTCAGCCATTTTCCCAAATGAATAGTCTTTTCATCACCTACACAAAAGCACTCTACAGAATCTTCTTGGCAAGTGAATAGTGTTTGTCCCTCCCTCCTGTTCCGCAGTTCTTGCATCTCTCATCTCCTTTGTCTTTCTTTCTTCACTTGAGAATTATCTTTATGGATCTGGCAATAGAATGTGAGTTTTCTTCCCTGTTATCAGGAACAGAACTGGAGAAGTTACCAGATTTGTGCTCCTCTTTCCCAGCAGGTTGTGTGTCACGCCCTCCTCTGCCATCTCTCTTCACCTATCTCTGCCCTCTCAGGCAATGTACCAGATAGGAGGAGCAAACAAACCACTGTGTTTCCCATACTGTTTTGTGTTCACAACAGAATGTGCAATAAAGCCACTTATTTTACTTTGCATTTTAATGTATCTTTAAAAACTTCATTTTGAACTAATTTTAGACTTAAATGTTGCAAAAGTAGTTCCAAGACTTTCTGTGTACAACTCACCTAGTTACTTATGGTAACATCTTTTGTAGCCATAGTAAAATACTGTAATCAAAACGAGGAAGTTAACTTCATTATAATAGTGTAAACTGAACTACCAGCTTTATTTGAATTCTAACAGTTTTTTTCCTATCCTGTTTTCTGTTCTAGGATCTGTGTCCTCCAACCTGTTCCTTAGGTTTTTTCCTTTTCCTTATGACTTTGACACTTTTGATGACTGTTCATTAGTTATTTTTTATAATGTTCTCAATGTGGGTTTGGCCGATTTCTTTCACAGTTGGAATCAGGTCATGCATTTTTGGCAGAAATACCACAGAAAGGATCTTGTGTCCTTCTTGGTGCAGCACGTTAGTCATGACTCATCCTAGTCCTGGTGGTCAGGTGCTACAATATGTCTGCTGGGTTTTTCCACTATAAAGATACGGTCCTCCTCCTCTATTTTAGGGGAGATAAAATTCTGTGCACTTGTTTTGCTTCTCATTTCCCCAACTAATTTTACCATCCTCTGGTGGATCTTGTCTGCAAGTGTTATAGTATTGATTGCCCAGTGTAATTTTTGTTTTCCTCATCTACATTTATTAAGTGCAATTCTATGGAAGATCTGTCTCTTATCCTCTATTTTTAATATCAGATGGACTTGTAGGTCTTTATTGCACCATCACCCTTCTAGGCTTATCATAGATTTTCCATACCCCACCCTTGAATCAACCATTTTTTCCCAGGATCCCTGATTTCTTTTGTTTAGAGAGTCAGCTTTGAGTGGCAGGTGTGCCCATTGCTGTCATTGTTTCTGATACAGCTTGTATAGGGGCAGCTCTGACATCTCATTGCAGCAGTGGAGAAATGTATTCATCATCCTCTCCAGTGTCATAGACTGTCAGCTCCAAAGGTCCTGTTTTTAGGCTTTTAAATTATAGGATGCTACTCTTCTCTTGAGATGAGAAAAATTAGATAATTCAACTAATTAGTGCTCAATATGAAATTCTTATTTAAAAATCTAAAAGCAAGACATTGCAGACATTTGGTGCATTTTTTTAATATTCAGTGGGGGGTAGCTTTTTTGTTTCTTTTTAGCAAATGAAACCAAATGATGTGAACATAAAAATACTCTCAGACTATCAGTTCTTAGGTTATATTTTTAAGGGCTCTCAAACACTGCAATATCAATGGCAATCAGTTATATACAAGTACTCTTCATCATCAACATTCCAGGGAGAGAACCGCAAACAAAAAATATGATGTTGTTGGTGTAAGGGAATTTCTCCAAATTTTGGCAGTCAGGACAATATTCAACTTGTAACATATCCCCTTTAGTTGCATAAGAACTAGTTGTGAAAAGCACATTTTTCCAAATCTAATAGCTAAATTTGTTTTAAAGAATAGTATGTAGACATTTACTTTGGTTCGGATATATAGTCAGGAAGTTGTGTGTTCTCAACTATGTGTTAAGAGCCTTGGGTATACAGAGAAAGGACAAACTAAATTCTTAGTTCTTCCTTCCATACAAAATTGTCTCATGTTTAAACTTCACAGCTGTATTGCATGGCTTTCTTCCCACAGGGCTTTTATTCAACCTTAAAACACAGTTTATGAATGCCTTTTCCTGGCATCTGATCCTACCAGGGTAGGTCTGCTACTCTTGTGGGTTTTGTGACACCTCCTGTGTTCTACAGAGGACAGGTGCCCATTTCGTGGCACTGTGTTACTGATGGGTGGGATTTAGTAAAGGAAATTCTCCTTGAGAACATAACTTGAACCAAGTATGAATGGGCTAGACGAGTTCTTACTAATGAGGAAGGAGAGGTAGCATGATCAAAGGTCCTGTGCAGAGAAGGGCTTGATGCACCGAGGGGCTGCAAGACCAGTATGACATGGAGAGGGGAGAGGCTACAGAAGTAGGTAGGGACCGGACAGAGCCATACCCAGTAGGCCCAGGTAGGCCATCTGAAAGCAGTGATTTTCAAGTAAAGAGAGCCTCATACACATGACCAGATTTCCACATGCAGAGGCTCTTTTGATTATAATGCGGGCATCGCCTGAAGAGAACACACAAGTGTGCCAGGAGACACAAGCTGGTAGCTGGGAGAGGGTTGGGGTAGGGACAGAAGGGTGAAGACCTCTGAGTGTTCAGAGCAACAGTGACAGACTGGGCTAATGAGGCATCTTAGGTGCTTCTTAGACTTGCAGTCAGATTTGCACCTTTAGTGTTTTCTGCTTTTCCTGTGGTGTCACCTGTCCTACTTTGTTGCTATTGTTTCTTCACTCCTTTCATGCGATTAAGATCTAACCTGTCCTGTTTGGTGGTGGTGTCACCAAATCTCATACTTTGTAGGCCTTCAGTACTTAATGATTGGAAATAAATTTTATAGGTGAAACATTTGGGAAATTAAATGACTTCTTCAAAGTCAATAGACCTGGCTAGTGGCAGCGCACTAAAACTGAAACTTTAGACCCTTGCTCACAGTCTACTATGTTCACTTTTCAAACTGCATCTTATTCACAGGAGTTATGGGGTACTTAATTTTCAAGCCACGTATACATTTGTAGAGTGTACCTTTGATTTCTTCAATGTGTGGGCTAAAATCAAGAGAAACAAAGAACTACATTGGTATCTATGGCTACAGTTGTATTAAAAATGTATTAAATACAATTTTTTTGCTTTTTAGACAAAATTAATAAAGCATTTTCTCTACTGTAAAAGTAGACCCACTAGAAATTAAAGCTGTACAGCTCTTGCAGGTTTTCTTTTTAATATAGAAAAGGAAGTGGCTGTAAGTAAAGAAATGAAGATTTAATCGTATAGGAGTATAATTGCCTGTTTGTGTGGAGAGTTATCAGTTATATTTTATAATGAGGGATCTCCAGAGAGTAAGTAGCCCTTCTGTTTAATTTATAAGTATTTAATTAGGTTTAGAATCTGCCAGCGTGCTATAAATTGTATAATTTCCAACCATAGTTCTGAAGATAATCCCAGTGGCTCTAGGATTATATTTTTGGTGTTTTGCTTTTGGCTAGAACTAGTTCTGATTAACAGTGCTTTGGAGTTTGTGTCTCACTGGCCATCCACAGTTTATTTCTGTGGACCAGCTGGCTTGCACACCTCGGTGATCTCTGAGGTCACATTGCATAGGCTAGTGCGACTCCTTATTTCAGTGATTGAGAAAATGAAAACTAAGGCATTCAGTATGAGTTTACAAGAAAAAGCTTTAATAAAAGTAGCATAAAATAAAAGGGAACAGAACTCTGATAGTCAAAGATCAAGCCCAATTCCCTAATAAAGGAAAGTAAGTGACAATAGGAAAAGAACCTTGAGAAATTGAAGGGGGAATAGGACCTCAAAAAGTGGGTCAGATTGACCCATTTACAAAAGGAGAGACCAGTTTCATGGGGTATTATGGTGGACTGGGATATTATGTCTGGTTTTGTGGCTCTAGAGTAACCCATGTGACATGAGCAGTTGGGCTCCTGTGAAGTGACTGTGCTTAGGGCAGGCTCAGTCATGTGAGCCTCTGCTGGAGTCCAGGGTGATCACAGGTGTAGGGCAGCAGAGAGTTCTGGTTGTAGCTGAATGTCCCTGTAATTCTGTTATCCTGGTATTCTCAGTCTTGAAAGATGGTAAGATAGGCTAAGTAAATGTAGGTCTAATAAATCCTGTATTGCCAACTTTTAGGGAGACATTCCCTAAAAGATTAACATGACTGTATGCAGAGCTGAGAAGGAATTCGTCTGACACAGTTTTATGAAGGTCA